TGACCGCGTTGGTATGGTGCACCCTTATAAATTACTCCAACTCCTGACCCAGCTTGATGTGTATAATAATTTTCATATGGACATTTATGATGATCACGAAGAGAATTCATTATTATAATTTTCGGAAATGTAGTTTAATACACACGGTTCCAAACTGGAATGGTATTTTTTGTCCTGTGCTCGATCTTATAACTATTTCCAGCGTATCGAACTCTCTTCGCATAACAGGTAAGTAGTGAGGTTGAGAGAAAACGTGCATTTTATTTGCACCATAAATGTATTTTGTAGGATCTAATGAAATGACTCTTAGTAAAGTAGCATAACATCACCCACAATCTGAGGATCGATAATGTCGCAATATAGAAAGAGTTGAGATGGTAACCCTAAGTGTAAATTAGCAGGACACTTTCCAAAATTTCTCTCTAGGAGATTTTTATTTGGTTCATAACCTAGTTGTAAACTTAATTTGGGTGATAATGTTACGGATGTTATATTTTTATCAAAAACAGAAATAGACACAAATTTTGTTATTTCATCATAGCGAAATTTCAAGTTCTCTCCGATACCATTTAACACTCTTAAAATATGCTCAACGTTATCATAGTTGGTAGCTGGAATATGTTTTTTGTAGTACACTGTGGATGGTTTATCTTCATTAGGCATTAACATAGATTTTGTAATGTATATAACATTTTCATGATCTTGAACAGTAAACATGGTACATGGATATTGAAACTCGATAACTCCAAGCGACCATTCACCTTCTAATTTAATAGCTTTCGGTAATTTCGTTGAAAAATTTGTGGTCTTGTTATCAGGAAAGTATTCCATTGAACTATTGCTGAGCAAAGTTAAATAAAAACTTCCTTTATTCATATTTCTTTTAAACTGGAAGCTAAAATCCAACTGTTAAATTTATCTGGTTAACCTTTCCACTTCACTAATTCTTCTTTTCTGTTACCTGAGTAACGAGTGTCAATTATTTTTTCTTTTTTATATTGTGAGGTGGGGTTGTAAGTGATTTTCTGTAATTCTCTTTCATAAAAAGTACCAACTATTGGTTCATTTTGTAAATCTGTTATTGTATAAACAACCCATGGAGATCTATCAATTATTGAAGATATAATAAATATTTCATCACTCCAATTTGATTCATATCCTTTTTGGAAAGCATGTTTATATTTAGTTATTCTAACATAATCACCCACATTGAAATTTGGTTTAGGATTTTCTAAAGAAAGTTTGTTTGACCGTCTATCATAAAGATTAGTCCAAACTGTCATAATATTGTTGGAATTTACATCACATGGGCACATCTTAATACTGGAGTGAAAGCTGTGATTATAAGAGTATATTAAATCTTGTAAAACATCTATATATCTATAAGTATTATTATGAGTGAAATAACGCCACATTTTCATTTTTAGTGTTCTTTGAAATCGTTCAACAATACTGGCCTTAATGTCAGGATTGTTAGTGGTATAGTAATTAATCTTTTTGGATTTAAAGTATTTTTGTACATCTTTTGAAACAAATTCTGTACCTTTATCAGATTGTATGTGAGTAGGTGTTAAATTACTTTCAGTAAATACCTATACTTTCAAAACATTCTTTAGTTGTTTCTGAGTTTTTCTTTTTCATTGGTCTTGCAAAAGCATATTTACTAAATACATCAATAACACAAAGTATATACTTGAAACCAGCATATAGAATGAATAGATAAGAATAAGTTCGCATATCACTTAAATCAGCTTGCCACAGTTCATTAATATTTGATAGAATGTACCTATTACGCGGGAATTTTTTTCGAATGGGTTTATATAATGTGTATGTTTCTTGTGATTTTAGCCATTCCTTTACTTGCTTTTTATTCATTTTACCCTTCATGGCTTTTTTTTATACGATAGGGTGACAAACGAGCACACAGTCCACCTGATGGTAAGTGGTTGCTGTGGCCCATAGACATCTACATCTATCCTCAATTACGAATCAAAATGCAGATGCGTTGTCACCCGTGAGGACTAAGATGGAATGCCTCGTTTCCAGTAAAAAGGGTCTCCGGTTCTCTACACTCTCCATACGAAACACAGCAGCATTAAGCTACTATTTCACGCTGGTATTCTATGAGATAATTTTTTGGTAATTTATCAATGGCTTTTGATAATTTATCAATACTACCAAAACCGGCGGGATTAGATGGATCATAATAAATCTTGTTAATTTCTTCTAGTACGGGGTCCATTTTTCCCACTCAAGCCTTTTACGTGTTTTAGTTGTAGACTTTTTATCTCTACTGCTCGGTGTAGAAAACTCTCGAAATTCAATCTCAGAGGGTTTGTTCAGATCTTTTGATTGAAGTTGGTTAATAAACTCACATCTCTTTGGATTTCCAATATAAGTAAGTGGTACTTTAATATCTTTTATGCTTCAGTAAATCTATCCCACCCTACTGGATCACTTCTTTTTAAGGGTCTTAGTGAATCATTTATTAAATCAACAATATTACTTCCAGCAATTTTTTCATTATCAATTATGACTGTACCTTCATTATCCCAATGTATTTTACCTTTACTTGTTTCAACTAAGTTTAATAATAACTGTCCTTTTTTATTATAAGTTTTTGGTATTAAACTGAGTATTTGAGCTGGTGTGTAAAGTGGATTTTCAACATTTTCTTTAATTTTGATGGATCGATTCTCCTCCAACAAAGATTCAGCATCAACTGAAGTTTTTAGATCTCTATCTTTATTTTTAAAACCAATTTTAGACTCGTTTGAATCTTCATTAGATGTATCAGAATAAATTAGTAATCTGAGTGGTTGACGATCCTCTTCGGTAAAATGAAGGTATCTTTGTAGTGTTTGTAAATATAACATCCATTTCTTTCGATCTTCCGTCTTACTATTCATAATATTTTGCATTTCAATATCTAATCGAGATAAACTACTATTAACCTTATTTTCTTGTTTTAATTTTTCAATCAATCCAGGTTCGATAAGTATCATTTTCTTTGCATTTTCCATGTTAACTGGCTAGTCCACTCACTAATCCACTCAATATTGCACCTAATATTATTGGTAAGAAAGCCCCTCCTTTTTGTATAATTATATTTTTTCTTAGTTTATGTTTACACTTACGCACTAGTTGACGGAGTATATTTTTGTGTTTATTCAATTTTTGTTTATCTTGATCTTTAAGAGGTACTTTTCCTTGTAAAACGTTATGAATACACTCACAAATACAGTTAATTTCTTCTTCATCACACGTTTTAAGTAATGCTCTTTGATATTTTGGTTTAAGCGTATGCAAAGCGTTTAGCAAATGTTTATGAGTTGTGAGTCGACGATGCATCATTTAGCAATTATTTGAAATGTTTGATTCTTGGTGTATTTAAACTCTTTTGTGGGGACGTAGACTGTACAGAAACCATTAAATGGGAAGACATTTGTCTTGATACGACATAAATCATTGGTATTCTGTTTTAAATCTACCATTAAATATCCATACGCCTCTAGAGTTGCATCCCTGTAGGCATCTTCAATGAATTTTGGGTTATCTGGTGACACTTGTCGTGCTAAATATCTTATTTGAGTTTTATCTCGAGGGTTTTTAAAATATATTATATAACTTGAGTTTAAGGATATGTCTCTTTGCCCTTTACCCTGATGAAATAAATTTTGTGTTAAATAAAAATACACTAAGATTCCTGTGATGACCACCTTTTGTAAATATATCCACAATTCTTCCATCGGACTCTCTCATTGGATCATCAATAATAACAAGATGTGGGTTTTCACCATCAAACATATTAACATTTGGAATTCCTCCAATTAGTTAACATTTGGTAAATTATATAAAGGTTGCATTTCATCAAAGCACCATGTGATCTGGTTAAAATCACAATTACATATTTCTGTAACTGATTTTATGAAATTTGTTACAAAATTTGACTTCCCACATCCACTTGGTCCTGCCACAATAACAGTAAACGGATGGATAAAGTGAAACATTACACACGTCTAAAGTTCTAAGGGGTGAAATAAAAAATGAAAGTGTTGGTGTTAACAATTAATATATATTGCAAACATTATATAAAACAGAATGATCTGTATACTATTTCTAACACAATTAGTACATCATAATTTTACAATCAACTCAACCTCAAATAAATACACACACACACACGCGAATATAAACAACAATTAACTTTATTTACAATAAAACAACGGTTAAATATGTAATAAACTCTACGTCATATTATACTATTATCATTATTTTACAATCAATACAAATTTTATTTACATGCAGACATAAAATTAAAAACTATCAACACTTAACGCAGTTTATAATAACCCCCAGCTAATGTTTCAATATTATTATCTAAAATATGCCTCTTTGTGTCATTATACGATAAACCAATCTTATTTAATTTTTGTGTAAAAATTGTGTGTTTAATTGATTTAAATCTAAGCATACTATAATATTGCACTTTTTTATTAAATAGAGAAGACTTATAATTATTCATGGTCATCTTTTTAGTGAATAAAGAAATTTTGTTTGACCGTCTATCATAAAGATTAGTGCAAACTGTCATAATATTGTTGGAATTTACATCACATGGGCACATCTTAATACTAGAGTGAAAGCTGTGATTATAAGAGTATATTAAATCTTGTAAAACATTTGCTAAACGCTTTGCATACGCTTAAACCAAAATATCAAAGAGCATTACTTAAAACGTATGATGAAGAAGAAATTAACTGTATTTGTGAGTGTATTCATAACGTTTTACAAGGAAAAGTACCTCTTAAAGATCAAGATAAACAAAAATTGAATAAACCCAAAAATATACTCCGTCAACTAGTGCGTAAGTGTAAACATAAACTAAGAAAAAAATATAATTATACAAAAAGGAGGGGCTTTCTTACCAATAATATTAGGTGCAATATTGAGTGGATTAGTGAGTGGACTAGCCAGTTAACATGGAAAATGCAAAGAAAATGATACTTATCGAACCTGGATTGATTGAAAAATTAAAACAAGAAAATAAGGTTAATAGTAGTTTATCTCGATTAGATATTGAAATGCAAAATATTATGAATAGTAAGACGGAAGATCGAAAGAAATGGATGTTATATTTACAAACACTACAAAGATACCTTCATTTTACCGAAGAGGATCGTCAACCACTCAGATTACTAATTTATTCTGATACATCTAATGAAGATTCAAACGAGTCTAAAATTGGTTTTAAAAATAAAGATAGAGATCTAAAAACTTCAGTTGATGCTGAATCTTTGTTGGAGGAGAATCGATCCATCAAAAGTAAAGAAAATGTTGAAAATCCACTTTACACACCAGCTCAAATACTCAGTTTAATACCAAAAACTTATAATAAAAAAGGACAGTTATTATTAAACTTAGTTGAAACAAGTAAAGGTAAAATACATTGGGATAATGAAGGTACAGTCATAATTGATAATGAAAAAATTCCTGGAAGTAATATTGTTGATTTAATAAATGATTCACTAAGACCCTTAAAAAGAAGTGATCCAGTAGGGTGGGATAGATTTGCTGAAGCATTAAAAGATATTAAAGTACCACTTACTTATATTGGTAATCCAAAGAGATGTGAGTTTATTAACCAACTTCAATCAAAAGATCTGAACAAACCCTCTGAGATTGAATTTCAAGAGTTTTCTACACCGAGCAGTAGAGATAAAAAGTCTACAACTAAAATACGTAAAAGGCTTGAGTGGGAAAAATGGACCCCGTACTAGAAGAAATTAACAGGATTTATTATGATCCATCTAATCCCGCTGGTTTTGGTAGTATTGATAAATTATCAAAAGCCATGAAGGGTAAAATGAATAAAAATCAAGTAAAGGAATGGCTAAAATCACAAGAAACATACACATTACATAAACCCATTCGAAAAAAATTCCCGCGTAATAGGTACATTCTATCAAATATTAATGAACTGTGGCAAGCTGATTTAAGTGATATGCGAACTTATTCTCAATATAATGATGGTTTCAAGTATATACTTTGTGTTATTGATGTATTTAGTAAATATGCTTTAGCAAGACCAATGAAAAAGAAAAACTCAGAAACAACTAAAGAATGTTTTGAAAGTATATTTACTGAAAGTAATTTAACACCTACTCACATACAATCTGATAAAGGTACAGAATTTGTTTCAAAAGATGTACAAAAATACTTTAAATCCAAAAAGATTAATTACTATACCACTAACAATCCTGACATTAAGGCCAGTATTGTTGAACGATTTCAAAGAACACTAAAAATGAAAATGTGGCGTTATTTCACTCGTAATAATACTTATAGATATATAGACGTTTTACAAGATTTAATATACTCTTATAATCACAGCTTTCACTCTAGTATTAAGATGCATATTAGTCATGGAGTAGATTGGTACTGTAATAATCTACTAATAGCAGTAATATTATGGATACACTAGATGTACAACAACATCTGAAAAAGATTCACCCCACTCTAGAAAATAATGTTTATGCTGCCAATAAACTACCCATGTACACCCACGTACCAACGTATATAATATGCAATTTGGATACAGATGAGAAACCAGGATCACATTGGGTAGCTTTATATATCGATACGAATGACGTCGGTCAATATTTTGATTCATTCGGACGGGCACCTGTACGATATCATCTAGAGTTCTTTAAAAGAAATTGTAAAAGATGGAACTGGAATGTTGATAGGATTCAGAATGAGTGGACTTCAATTTGTGGCGAATATTGCTTAATATATTTGCTATATAAGTTTCAGGGATGTTCAATGCATAGTTTTACGAGTATATTTACAGGGAACACATTGTACAACGATATTTTAGTGGATGAGATGTTTCGCTCCTATTTTATAGATAATAAGTAATAAGATTTTGTATTTTATAAATAAAAATTTTAACAAAATTGGGTAATGTGTTTTATTAATGAGTTAGATTAGTGTAGATAGGAACAAAGGAGAACAATAGCACCACGCTGAGGAAGAATAGATAATGACGGTATTGAACGAACAATAGATAAGTAGATAAGAACAATGGAGCGCTAATGACGGTGGAGGCCCGCACCGGATATCAATTAGATAAGAGCTAATTGATCTGCACATCTCCGGAACCGTGCATCCTACGCAAAAATGGACCGCAGATTCGTGATCAGAGCATGCCAAAACCTTTTTTTTTTTTTAGGATCGTGAGTCGACGAACGTCGTACTTGTACCACTTCTGACTCAGTGCGCCAGAACTGGTACAACGTAACTACTCGAATTGTATGAAAATTAGTAATTTAACGATGAAAATTTACTACGAGAACTATTTTAAAATACTGAGGGCAGTTAATTATACTATATTACCAGAAAATATAAACGGAAAACACCAATTTTCAGTCAAGTTGTGGATGAATTTGTGTTTTTATTTCTGAATTGAATGCTCGGCTTAGGTAAGTAGCGATTTTTCGAGTTCCCTGTGTTTTGTCTATCATATTAGAGTGCAGATGACAGTTTCTACACGGGACGGACCTTATAAGCCTAAAAGGAGCGGAAAAATCGAAGATTTTAAAAAGTTTAAAAATTCTATGAAAATACGATTATAAGAAAACTAATTATATGAAAATTAGTTATTTAGTGTTGAAAATTTACTACGAAAACTATTGTCAAATACGGGGGACAATTAATTACACCATATAACAAGAAAATTTAAACAGAAAAGACTAATTTTCTGTAGAGTTATGGATGAATTTGTGTTTTTATTTCATAAACAGGCAAGCAAGTATATAAGTATGTACTTACTTATATACTTGCTTATATACTTAATAATATACTTACATACTTACTTATGTACTTGCTTACAAACTTGCTTATATACTTGCTAATATATATACTTATTTACTTACTGATAAACCTGCTTATATACTTGCTTATATACTTACTTATGTAATAACTGATATACTTACTTATATTTTTCTTATACACTTGCTTATATACCTACTTATATACTTGCTTTTATAATTACTTATAATAAACTTGTACTTACTTATATCCTTGCTTATACACTTACTTATTAACTTGCTTATTAACTAGTTTATGTACTTGGTTATATCCTTACTTACATACTTACTTATGTACTAACTGTTATACTTACTTATATACTTTGTTATATAATTGCTTATATACCTACTTATACACTTGCTTTTATACTTACTTATAATATACCTGCTTATATACTTACGTATACTTACTTATATACTTGCTTATCTATTTTCTAACACTTTCTTATATACTTGCTTATATATTTACTTATATACCTACTTATATACTGGCTTATATAATTGCTTATATACTTACTTATTTACTTACTAATATGCTAACTTATATACTTACATACTTGCTTACAAACTTGCCTATATACTTGCTTATTTACTTGCTTATATGTTTACTTATTTACTAACTTATATACCTACTTATATCCTTGCTTATACACTTGCTTATTAACTTGTTTATGTACTTGGTTATATCCTTACTTACATACTTACTAACTGTTATACTTACTTATATACTTTGTTATATAATTGCTTATATACCTACTTATACACTTGCTTTTATACTTACTTATAATATACTTGCTTATATACTTGTTTATATACTTACGTATATACTTGCTTATAACCTTACTTATATACTTGCCTACAAACTTGCTTATATACTTGCTTATTTACTTGCTAATATACTTACTTATTTACTTACTTATAAACCTACACATATATTCTTATATAATAGTTTATATACTTGCTTATATAATTTTACTTATATATTATATACTTAAATATTATATATTTGTTTTTATACTTGCTTATATATTTCTTATATACTTACATATATACTAACTTATATATTGCTTATAAACATGCTTATATACTTATTTATATATATGCTTATATACTTGCCTATCTACTTGCTTATATACTTACTTATATACTTATTTATATACTCTTAAGAAAATTTAAACAGAAAAGACAATTTTCAGTCAAGTTATGATTGAATTTGTGTTTTTATTTCTGAATTTACGGCTCGGTTTAGGTTAGTAGCGATTTTTTCGAGTTCCGTGTGTTTTATCTGTCAAATATGAAAGCAGATGGCAGTATAATACACACGACCTTATAAGCGTAAAAAGAGCAAGGGAATCAAAGATTGTAGAATTCTATGAAAATACGATTATACGAAAACAATTATATGAAAATTAGTTATTTAATGGTGAAAATTTACTACGATAACTATTGTAAAATATGGAGGGCAATTAATTACACTATATTACCAGAAAATATAAACAGAAAACACCAATTTTCAGTCAAGTTGTGGATGAATTTGTGTTTTTATTTCTGAATTTTCGGCTCGGTTTAGGTAAGTAGCGATTTTTTCGAGTTCCGTGTGTTTAATCTGACAAATATGAAAGCAGGCGGCAGTATAATACACGACGACCTTATAAGCGTAAAAAGAGCAAGGGAATCAAAGATTTAGTTAGAATTCTATGAAAATACGATTATAAGAAAACGAATTATATGAAAATTAGTTATTCAACGGTGAAAATTTACTACGATAACTATTGCAAAATATGGAGGGCAATTAATTACACTATATTACCAGAAAATATAAACAGAAAACACCAATTTTCAGTCAAGTTGTGGATGAATTTGTGTTTTTATTTCTGAATTTTCGGCTCGGCTTAGGTAAGTAGCGATTTTTCGAGTTCAGTGTGTTTAATCTGACAAATTCGAATGCAGGCGGCAGTTTCAACAAAGGACGGACCTTATAAGCGTAAAAAGCAAGGGAATCAAAGATTTTAAAAAGTTTAAAAATTCTATGAAAATACGATTATAAGAAAACGAATTGTATGAAAATTAGTTATTCAACTGTGAAAATTTACCAGTAAACTTATTGCAAAATACGGGAGGCAATTAATTAAACTATATTACAAGAAAATTTATACAGAAAAGACCAATTTCCAGTCAAATTATTGATGATTTGTTTTTATTTCTGAATTTAAGGCTCGGTTTAGGTACGTAGCGATTTTTCTAGTTCCGCGTGTTTTATCTATCAAATTTGAGTGTAGATGGAAGTTTCACGATACGGACATTGTAAGCCTAAAAGGAGCTTTAAAAAATTTTAAAAATTTTATGTTAATACGATTGTAAGAAAACCAATTATATGAAAATTAGTAATTTAACGGTGAAAATTTACTACGAAAACTATTGTAAAATACGGGCGGGGGTTAGTCTACTCCTAACTTTTTGATATTATAAATAGGACTAGATTAACACCTATTCTGCTCTCCTGTCCGGCGAGCAGTTTGGCGTATGGCTCTGGGGGAGAGCGCAGGTCGTGTTGATCCCCAGGGCAAGTCTGAGGAGTTCTCCTTCACGTGGTTGCCGCCTGTTATTTGGTCTGGTTCAATATTAAACAGACAGAACAGAAATACTCCTACGATCCTCTTTTATTTTTCTTTTATCCCACCCCCCTTTTCCTATCCTAACCCAATCCAAGGTGTCAAGCGTACCGTGCCGATGGATGCGTGGCTGGAGGGAGTCCAGTCGCAAACGGTGCCTACCCGACACCAAGACGATTCGGGTAGTATATTAGCCCTTCCCTCGACATGCGGGGCTCTGCCGGGGCTGACCATGTACATATTTCCCTAGCTAATCGTGGTAACAAAATGGATGAAAACCGACATTTTGTAAAAGAC